GGTGGTGGTGATGCTGGTGATGGTGGTGGGGTGAAGACCCTGATGAGATCATCACTCTTCCTCTCTTCTCATGACTTCTGCCTGGCCACCAGATCCTTGGGTATTTTGATATCGCATTCACCTCTGTCTTCACTGTGGAGATTGTCCTCAAGGTGAGTGAAGGCAGTGGGACAGGCTGGGTGAGGGGCATCTCCAGGCCGGGACCCAGAGCACATGTGGCTCCCAGTTACACAGGCTTTGCTCACTTAGGGGCTGGGTTGCAGGGAGGAGGGAAAAGCAAGAAGAAGGCTGAGGGCAGCAGGGAAAGACTGGTGGGGCCCAGGAGACCAGTGGTTTCAGCTCATAGTCCGAGGTGAGTGGGCCAGCAGGTGCGTGTGCAGGCATGAAGCACAGTCAACTTGCAGCCCATGAGCTCCTCAGCAGAGCACCGTCAGTGTCCGTGAAGCGTTGGGCACTTTCCTCCAGAGTGAAGGCACAGTAGCCTAGGAGTAGACTCGGGAGCAGCAGTTTGTTCACAGGCCTTTGTTACCAGTGACTGAGAGACCTCCTCCCAGGACCCCAGAGAAGTGACCGCTGACCTGGGTGGGCTTCTGGCAGCTCGCCCTCTCCCGACCCTCCCTCTCCCTGTCCACAGCGCATCACTCCTGTTTCTCAAGGTGGACGCACTAGGTTCACACCATGATGGTGGGGACTGGGGATCAGAGACCCAGTAGCCCCAGCTTTCACCTCCATGACCCAGGAGGGGAGCGGGGAGCCGGGCAGGGGGAGCAGGCCCAGAGCAGGCTGCAGTGTGAAAGGTGGACAGTCCCTTCGTTCAGGGCCTTGATTTTTAAGAGTTGATCAGAGGGAGACAGTGTCTACCCTGAGGTCCAAGAGGACTTCCTGAAGGTGGTGATTTTAGGCCTTGGAGTTGGATAGGACTCCATCAGAGAGAGGAGGGGCCGCTCAGGAGGACAAGACAATGACAAATGCATTGTAAAGCAATGTTTGGGACATGCTCAGAGAGGAGAAAGTGGCCCCTCTGGGCTGGTGTATAGCATACATGCAGGGGAGTCGGTGGTCTGGGTTTAGCAGCTGGAAAGAGAAGTTGAGATGAAATCATACAGGGCCTTGAATGCCAGAAAAGGCTTCAGCTGGCCAGAATTTAAGGGCGTTGCGTGTTTGTGCGGGGGCATGGGAGATCATTAGGGACCACGTGAAAGACGCTGAGAGGCGAGTGAGAAGGCGGGTCCAGGGATGTGGAGGAGGAGGGGGTCAGAGGCCTGAGCAAGGTTTTCAGTCCTTGACAGCAGTTCAGCCTGACCCAGCAATGCCCAGCGCGCAGCTGACTCCTGAGGACGCTTTCCGGGGTGGAGGAGCAGTTGTACGGCTCTGCAGGGGGTGGGGCGGCTTTCCCCTCCATGGTTCCGTGCGGAAGGAGCCCCAGGGCTCCCGTGGCCTTGCTGCCTGGGAGAGGTCCCCGTGCTCTCAGGGCCAGGAGCAGAGGGTGGGGCAGTGCGCTGAGGACCCAGCAAGGAGAGTCCCCAGTCTCCTCCCCCCCGGGGTGCTGCCTCTCTCCCCAGATGACCACCTACGGGGCCTTCCTGCACAAGGGCTCCTTCTGCCGCAACTACTTCAACATGCTGGACCTGCTGGTGGTGGCCGTGTCCCTCATCTCCATGGGACTTGAGTGAGCGAGGCGGCCCGGGGTCCCAGAGTGGGAGCCCACCAATGTTGGTTGGTCGGCACCAAGCCGCACGGGGAGGGTCTCTCGGGGCCACTGATGGGGGTCGAGGGTCCCTTGGGTTGTCCCCAGCTGGACTGAAGTGACAGGGCTTAGTGGGTAGAGTGTTGCTGCAGACCAGGAGGGGGTGCAGAGGGGAGAAGGTGGTCCTGCCCTGCCCCACAGGGAGCATGGCCCCATGTCCAGGCGCTCCTGTCTGATGGGAGAGGCGGGGTCTGGGGCAGCCCTGGAGGAAACCCTTCCAACAGTGATGCAATACTAGCCCTGGGAGCAGGGCCCCTTTATCCCAGGCAGGCGCACAGGCAGCTTGAGGGAAGGGGTGAGTGTGGAGAGCTGGGGGCAGGAGGCAGGTGGAGGGCTGGAGAGGGCAGCCCTCAGCATCCTCCTGCCGCTCCCCCAGGTCCAGCACCATCTCTGTGGTGAAAATCCTGAGGGTACTGAGAGTGCTCCGACCACTCCGGGCCATCAACAGAGCCAAAGGGCTGAAGGTGAGAGAGGGCCCGGCAGGACCCTGGAAGGGACAGGGCTGCCAGGGCTGACCTCGGACATCTCAGCCCAGCCACCAGGGTTGAGGGGGAGGCTGGGAAGCCGTGCCGCCCACGGACCCCTCTCTGCCCCCCACAAGCTGGGACTGGTGATGAGGCGGGGACCACGCTGACTGGCCTCCCTCTGCAGCACGTGGTGCAGTGCGTGTTTGTGGCCATCCGCACCATCGGGAACATCGTCCTGGTCACCACGCTGCTCCAGTTCATGTTCGCCTGCATCGGTGTCCAGCTCTTCAAGGTGAGCCCTGGCCTGCCCTCACTTCCCCAGCTCCGGTGCCAGCTCTCGGGCCAAGGCAGGAGCTGGTCCATTTCCCCTCTAAGCAAAGGCGCCCCGCACTGTGAAGGCAGAGGTCCAGCATGCACAGGTTTAGGGCGAAGCTGTCGTGAGTCTGAATTGGGCTCCTGGGTGATGTCCCTCCCTGATCCCCAGGCTCTGTGGGCCACCATCACCACCAGTACCTGCTGTCCTCCTGGCTGTCCCGGGTGAAGGCCCCACCTGCCGGCCCTGCCACCACCCTCCCTGCTACTCCCCCCCACTCCTTCACCCCGCCGGGCTGTCTGACACACGCCCGCCCCGCCCCAGCAGCTCCAGCTCCTCAGGCAGCTGGGCCTCTGCCCTCCGCGCGCCTGCAAGTGGGCCTGGCGTCCTCCGTCTTCCTGGGAGCTGCCAGGGGTGGGGTCACCGGTGTCGCGTCTGGAAGCTGCCCTCCTGCTGCTCTCACTTTCCTGGGGGACCTCGTCTCTTCACTTCCACCTGGAAATCAGTGTATTTCCCTTCCTCAGGCCCAGCCTGGGGCACCCAGCAAACTCAGTCCTCTAAGGAGCTGGCTCCCCACCTCCCGGCTGTCTGCCCGGTAGGGGCCTCAGGGTGGCTGAGGGACCAGTGGGCTGTCCTGGGGCCTTGTCTTGATGGTCAGGCTGCCTTCCGCCCTCCAAGAGGAAGACCCAGGCCCTGCCTTCCCTCCTCCCTTCCACGGCATCTTTCAATCCTGTTTCCATGACAGCCTGTCTCCCTTCCTCCCTCCCGGATGCAGGGGAAGTTCTTCAGCTGCAATGATGTGTCCAAGATGACAGAGGAGGAGTGCAGGTGTGCATGCCGGAGGGACCCCTGCATGGAGGGGGCTGGCCTGAGGGGCAGGGCGGTCTTCCCACTGGGGGACTGAGGAACCTGGGCCCAGGAAGGACCCTCACAGAAACCCCTCCCTTGGGTGACCCTGGTCTAGACCTCCCCTCCTTCCCGCACCCTCACCCTCAGGGCCTGGAGGATGGGGGGCGGGTGGGGCGAGGAACCAGGTGCACAGTGCGGTGACTGAGCCCCCCCACCTCAGGGGCTACTACTACGTGTACAAGGATGGGGACCCCACGCAGGTGGAGTTGCGTCCCCGCCAGTGGATACACAACGACTTCCACTTCGACAACGTGCTCTCGGCCATGATGTCACTCTTCACGGTGTCCACCTTCGAGGGATGGCCGGAGTGAGTGGGGGCTGGGACCCTGCCCACCCAGCTTCGGTCGGGGCCACACCAGGGGGCCACTCACGCCATCTTACACTCTGCCAGATGTGGCAGGTGCTCAGCAAGCCACATGGTGTGCGTGCAGGACTGGTGTGCTGACTGGTCCCTCGAGAGACAGCCCAACCAGGGGACTCAAGCGGGAGTGGGCCTCTGCCCGCAGTGGAGCCCGACTGGGCGATGAGGGGGCGCGGCGCGTCCCATTCCAGGATGTGGTCCAGCCTCCTGGCAGGGTCCTAGCTTCTCCCCCATTGCATGACGGTCTGGAAAGCCGGTTTAGGTGTCCATGGCCAGTGGAATGAAGCCCAGCCTTCCTGGCCTAGCTCCGCCTCAACACCCAGCCCAGCCCAGCCTAGCCTTCCCTCTGCCCTCCCCAGGCTGCTGTACAAGGCCATTGATGCTAATGAGGAGGACAAGGGCCCCGTGTACAACCACCGTGTGGAGATGGCCATCTTCTTCATCATCTACATCATCCTCATCGCCTTCTTCATGATGAACATCTTCGTGGGCTTTGTCATCGTCACCTTCCAGGAGCAGGGGGAGACGGAGTACAAGAACTGCGAGCTGGACAAGAACCAGGTAGCTGCTGGACCGCCTGCCAGAGGCCTCTGCCAGCCCGGCCGAGGCTTGGGGCAGGGAAGGGGGCCCTCGGGCGGGGGCGGGGTGACCCCACACCCTCCGTCTGATGCCCAGCCCCACCTCCAACCCGTCTCCCATCTGAAGCAGCACGCAGTGGTCAGGTGGGGTTTCCTCTTGGAACCTTCACAATCCCCAGAGCCCCTGGGACGGGGGAGCCGTGCTAGGGATGGGCTCTGATGGCTTGTGGGCGGCTCGGTGCGGCTCTTCCCCTGAACAGCCTGGCAGGGGCCCTTAGCCACAGCCGCCCTTGGCCTGCTGAATGCTGGGTCCTCCAGCCCATGGGCCTGGGCATGGGGAGGGCGGAGGGAAGGGCTCCGGGTGCTGACCTGCGCGCCATGTCCTGTCTCAGCGCCAGTGTGTGCAGTACGCCCTGAAGGCCCGCCCCCTGAGGTGCTACATCCCCAAAAACCCATACCAGTACCAGGTGTGGTACGTCGTCACCTCCTCCTACTTCGAGTACCTGATGTTCGCCCTCATCATGCTCAACACCATCTGCCTGGGCATGCAGGTGAGGGAGGCCCCGAGACCAGGGCGCTGGGACGGGGCGGGGGCCCTGGGGCCGGGACAGTGGTGGGCTGGGGCGGGGCCTGGGGGCGGG